CTACCCTGTCAGATTTTGCTACCTCCCATTAAAACAGTGGGTAGTACAATTCGACAACGAAAAATGCTACCTGTAAAATTATGGTTTATTAACGTCTACACCTACCACAACCCTAAACCTACCCTTACAGTAATGCAAATACAGTAATTAAGTGTTTAGCTTTTGTTGAAAGACAGAGCAAATTGCGGGGCAGTACTGAAATACCGTCTAAGCTGTACAGCTGTTCGCCAATCACAACGCACTGGGACAGCTAACCAATCACAACACATTTTGTTTTTCGGAAGGCGGACCTTCATCAAAGCCGGAACTAATCGAGCCGTTTGTGCCAGGATGGGGAGAAAGGTATTGTAATAATGTAAATTATGTGAAAAATTATGTGTTTTTCGAACCACCAAGCATGAGAACATGTTCTACTACACCCCCAAAACAAAATCAAGACTTTGTAAAAGAGCATAATAGGATCCCTTTAAGATATTTGGCACCAAAAGTGTAATTATTAATTATTCAAACATTTAATTAATACCGCCCAAGCAATCTCTATAAATCTTTAGGTCTAAATAAAATGCCTTGTACAGTAATCACAAACGACTCTGATCAGTCAATTATTATCAGCGCTGCCGCTGAGAGAAGTAACAGGTACGACGTGACAATGATGTTTATCTGGCTCTTCAGTAGCTGTGTGGATATTATTGTATACCTGAGAAATGACTAATAAAAGTGAATAACGATACATAATGTTAGTCTTAAAATACAGGTTAAAATAGGCAAATTTTTTATTTAGACTCAAAGTCAGGGGCAGCTCCCGGTCCTCTGAGCCCCGCCTATTCCTTAATAACATTTAATGAATGCGACATTCAGTTATCTTATTAACAAATCTATCTATCTATCTAATCTTCATCGCGCCTTCAGGTTCTAGTGTTATTTTATTCGCATTTACTGCCATCCAGTGGACATTTTTTGTACTACAGCAGAATCACTACAGTCGTACCAGGAAAATTCATGTGGCCACCAAACTGATTATAAAATACAAACCCAGGTGTTTTATGAGTAAGTACTGATTACTGAAGTACAAAACAATACCTGAGAAAAGAACTGACTTTTAAATTACAGCAATAAGCCTCCTGAGACTGTCAGAGTTCAGTTTTAAAAGTATAATTAAAATATGCATTCAAAATGTGCACTGAAGTCAGTTCACATAAACAACTTAAATGTTTTATGAAATATATTTATTATGAAGGGAAAACATAAAAGGGACCAAAAAATTAAAGAAAAAAAAACATGTGACCGTCTACACTGGTGATAACGGCATTTCTTCGGAAGCGGACCTGTGGACAGTTTCACACACAGACAGGGTCGGGCTGACCTCAGGTCAGTGCAGCATTTCTAGCTCTAATGCTTCTCTAAAGCTGGGAACAGCAGGAGTATCCGAGATCCATCCGCTCAAACAGGACGACTTCAACCCAAGCCAGAGGCACAAGGATGCGGAGCGGAGGCGACTGATGGCAGCCATCATAAAGCACTATGCTGTGTTGGTAGTGAAGGAAATTTGACAAAAACATCATCCTAATGTGCCTATTCTTAATATTGGTAGGGTGTGCAGTCCTGTCAAAATGTTTGTTTACTTTGTGACAAATAAAGAAGCTTTCATTGCACTTGTTGGACAAATTTGTATGGAAGCCTGTTTCAGTCACGAAAAAAATGTAATTAAATTAAAAGGTAATTGTGACTTTAACTTCTTCACAATTTTTTTTTCTCAAAAAATAAACTAAATAAACTGTCCAAAAAAAATAATAATTCTGGAAAAATTGTGAGGGGGTTTTCTTTCACACAATAGTAAATTAACAAATTTGTCTTTTTGTTTCTACCATGGAATAAAAAAATGAAAAAGGTAATACAATACTTAGATATAAACTCACAATTATGAAAAGAAAAATATTAATTGTAAGAAAAAAGTCAGAATTGTTCAATATAAATTCAGAATTGTGAGATATAAACTCGCAATTACAAGGAAAAAAAAGTCAAAGAATTGTGAGACAGAGAGACGCAATTAGCTTTTTTATGTAAACTCAGTATTCAGAGTGAAAAAAGTCAGAATTGTGAGATGTTTATATCTCTCAATTCTGTTTTTCCATCAGAATTGTGAGATAAAAAGTCGTAATGACCTTTTTTTTTATTCTGTGGCGGAAACAGCTTCCATACATTGTGAATAGTAGTGCTGTTAGCTCACAGAAACACTGGACGTTTGGTCATCAGCTTTTTTTTTTTTGTGAGCTTGAGTCATTAACAGATTGGTTAAACAGTAACAAATACATATCAATACGCTCTCACGTAAATATACTATACATCCGGAGTGGAGGGCAGCAGCGTGTTAGTCGGGACATGAACGTGTGGCTCAGCCGGTACATACAAAAAACCGTGTCTTCAGACCGACTGTGAACGAGTGTAACCATGAGTGGATGTGAAGGAGAGCACAGTGACTGATGCAGGTCCGGGACACAAATGACCTCACGTCCAGCCTAAAACAGCATAACGCTTATGGCGGTGAACTGGAGGAGATCTGGCTCAGGGCTCTATGTAGTGCTGTCAGGAGGGACGATCCTTTGGCGAGCGCTTTTGGGTCTGTGGCGGGGCGTCGGGGGCGAGCTGCGTTCACTCTCGGACTCGGAGGGCTCGGTTTCAGCCTGTGGAGAACCGGTGTCTCCCACCAACTCCCGCAGGAACTTAAACTTAGACAGGAAGAGCTGCCACACCACATACCACCCTACAAACACAGACACAAGTTGGCTGTCAGGAGTACACTGGAACTAGGAGTGAGCTGATATGCCTTTGCATTTCTATCTCCAATTTGGCTCTGGTTCAGACTGAAGCATTTGCATTAACTGTATGATAAAGCACAGATTCAGCTAGAATGCACTTCAGATGCCTGACAAATTTGATTTACCTTTCATTTTGCTGAGAACTGTTTAGCCATTTGTAGACAGTAGTTAACAGCAGTTAAAAGTTTTTGTTAATCCAACCAAGTTTAATGTTATAAACTTTAAGAGTTTGCATTGTGACCCAACTGTTACACTATGTAATGTCAAAATTTCTCACAAAAAATGCTAAAATGTAAAATTTTGTAACATAAAACTAATGAGAATCATAATATAAATCAAATGTAAATTATCTGAATGCATTATGGTAATAAGAATTTAGTGGGAAAATGTCAATTTTCTCAATATTAATTTTATGCAAAATACAGTTTATGACAATTTGTTTCCCTTTCATTATTGGGTAAAATATGAAAAGTGGGTAAAATATGAAAAGTAAAGTAATTATTCAAATGAGAATAAAAATAGAATCAAATATATATAACATATGGAACATTATGGTAATAAGACTTTACTAGAAAAAATTAAATAATAATAATAATAATAATGTCAATGCAAAATATCCTAAAAATCTTAAAATCACAGTTTTTTTTTTACTTTGGGAAGAAATGTGAATTCATAATAAGATTAAAATGTAAAAAAAAAAAAAATCTGGATGCATTATGGTAATGAGAAGTTGGTGGGAAAATGTAAGACTTTTATTTATGCAAAATATCATTTTTTTCCCCCCTCTTTCATTATTGGGTACAATATGAAAAGTAAAATAATTCAAATGAAAATAAAAATAGAATCAAATGTAAAACATATGAAACATTATGGTAATAAGACTTTACTAGGAAAATGATAATAATAAAAATAATGTCAATGGAAAATATCCTAAAAATCTTAACATTGCAATTTTTTTTTTTTTTTTTTTTGCTTTGGGAAGAAATATGAATTCATAATAAGATTAAAATGTAAAAATAAAAAAATCTGGATGCATTATGGTAATGAGAATTTGGTGGGAAAATGTCAGACTTTTATTTATGCAAAATATAATTTATTTTTTTCCTCTTTCATTATTGGGTACAATATGAAAAGTAAAATAATTCAAATGAAAATAAAAATAGAATCAAATGTAAAACATATGGAACATTATGGTAATAAGACTTTACTAGGAAAATGTAAATAATAATAATAATAATAATAATAATAATGTCAATGGAAAATATCCTAAAAATCTTAACATTGCAATTTTTTTTTTTTTTTTACTTTCGGAAGAAATATGAATTCATAATAAGAATAAAATGTAAAATATCTGAATGCATTATGCTAATGAAAATGTAGTGAGAAATTGTCATGCAAATAACGTCAGAATTTAAAATAGTAATTTTCTTTATGCAAAAGAAAATGATCAAATTGTCTTTTGATTTTGGGATACAATATGCAATAATTTAAACATTTACAAATGCATTTTTAAAACCAAAAGTTGATTTTTTTTACCATTAGTTAATGCATTATGCACTAACACATTATTAAGCAATGAACAATTGTCTTTTTAAAAACTAATATTAAGAAAGACTAACAAATGCAACAGAAAAAAAAAAAACTTGCTTTTGCATTAATTTTATTGGTAAAATATAACCTAGGCTCATTCTTGGTAGAATTTTTCATTTTAATTCATAACATATTCTGACACTTTAGGTAACCCAGAAAAAGCATCTTCCTCAAACACACAAGTGTTGGCATGTTCAGTGCATCGTTCTGCTCCAAGCCTGCGTCTGACATGATGACACAACTTCTCAAATGACATACTGGACATTGCACACTTATGTAACAGCTGAGAGGTTTCTACAGTACAGAAACTGTGCCCTTAACAGATGTGAGTCAGTCAGAGAAACCTTGACTAGAGTCAACACTCAACTCTCAGTGAACTCTGGAAATGAGACGTCTGTGTTACTGACAGTCAGCAAATCTGGTCTATTTTTGTGGTGCTTGACTGAACCGACCACACTCTCACACATGAGCCCACAATTCAAGGCTGTGAAGTCACTGTAGAGAAATCCTGTAACTGAAGGTGTGGCTTTTTCCTCAGAAAAGTGACAAGGTTCATGACCGTCAGATCACGGAGTAAGCAACCACTGCGATAGACTTCACCGAATCATGCAATTGCTTGAATGTCTAGTTTAAGATAAGCTACAGTGACCCCAAAAATATTCAGACAATCGAGTCGCACTTAAAAATGGCATTGCATTAGATGAAGGATTGCAGGATCTTTTCTCAGGCTGTTTGGCAGCTACTTACCGAAGAGCATGAAGAGGAGGACACATATCAGCGTGGCCACGATCACCAACACGGTCAAACCAACACTCTGCCACATCCTCCTCTTCTTTCCTAATAAACAAAACAAAACACACCTTCACATCTGCATGTGCTCTAGAAGCTCACCATGTTCTCAATTTAATATCACAATTCCTGTAGGACCTGCATAAATTATGTCTTATATCATCATACATGATTCGCATGCCTAATATAATATATGATAAAGATAAATCTGATAAAGATTTCAAATATCATATGTAAAAAAAAACTGCATAATCATAGGATCAAATGTATCTGCTCAGAACTGTATGTTCCTTTTCAGAATATGCAACCTATTGATATTAATGCATTGTGTATTATTGTAAATATTGTAAATCATAAAAGTAAAAAAATGAATAAAATGAAAAATTAATAGGACTATAAATATTATTGTTTTTTTAATTAAGCATTAACTAAAATATAATATATAATAATAAAATATATTTAAAAGTTATTACATTTACACAAATGCATCCACAGGCATAAATTACTGTTTTGTTATCTTTTAGTGTAATCATTATTTCAAAAATAAAAAATAAAAATCTTAATTTACATTTTTTGCAAGGTGCATGTAAAATGCAAATCATACACACACACACACACACACACACACACACACACACACATATATATATATATATATAAATAAATACATACATACACATATTACATATATATATATATATATATATATCTCATACTTCACAAAGCTACAATGTAACAATGCAATCAATGTACTATGGTATTACTATGTTTTAGACCGTACCACTATGGTAATACCATCTGTACCATATTACAGTTATGGTATCAAATGGTAATACTATGGAACTTTGAACTATACCATGATAGTTAAAAGTTAGAATAAAAAGAGTAGAAATACCAGATATTATGATCTTTTGAAATCATATAATAAATCTCTTTTTGCATGTGTGATATCAGTATAAAATGATTGTAACTTACTAATACGCAGAGCAGTCTGTGTCTAATACGAGTCATGCAGATGAAAGTGTTTGTTTATGATCAGACTTACGGACGTTCACGCCTCAGTCTTCTAGTGATGGGAAGATCGGTTCTTTTCCGCGAACCGGTTCT